TCTATTAAAGACATAATTCACTATTTAACTTATAAAATGTCCCCTTCCCTCTCATATTTGTTTCTTTGAATATCCTTCAAGAAGAAAGTTTAATCTGTTATTAATATAACTATATCACATTTTCTTTATAAATATTTGCGTGACATATTTTTCCTTTCTTTACCTTTTAACTTTTCTGCATTTTTATATTTAATGTGTTTATTTCATTATATAATCTAACAATCTTTGCTTTTAATCAAGGTATTAAGATCATTTATATTTAATGTAAATACTGATATAGTAGGATTAAATTTCATGACATTGCCATTTTTTTCCATTCTTTCCATCTGTCCTTTTCTTCATTTCACACTGCATCATAGAATGACCTTGGTTTCCATCTGACATCATGTGTTTTGTTTCTAATGGCTCTATGATGTCCACTATTTGATGTGTCACAACTTACTGGACCATTATCCATTAGCTTTCATTTCATTCTTCAACTGGGCTTGGTATTACAGATAATATCGCACTGAATATCTTACATTTATCACTTTTTCCTTTATGTACTATTTCAAAGATTATATTCCCAAGGGAGGAATTACTGTTTCAAGAAGTAGAAATGTCTTTAATTCTTGATACAACTTATAACCTTTCTTTTCCTAAAGAATTATTCAGGCTACTTGCATTTTATAGCTATACAGATTTTGTTGTAGTTTTGCTAGCATTTTTTTAATTAAAGAATTTTATAGAAGAGGACCAAAGGGATACCAGAGTTATGATTACCAATGCCATTGTGTGTTAAACAAATGAAAAAGAGAAAGTTGTTTATCAATGAACTCATTTCAGCTACAAGCTTTACTAAAATTCCAAATCGTTCTGCTTCTGTTCTGTACACAGTTGGGCTTTGGCAATAATCCCCTGTAAATAACTCAAAGAATATACATTTATTACATAATTTGTGAGCTGGCATATATATTTAATTTGGGTCTAATGAAACTGTAATTCCCAAATAAAACCAAGGTTTATAAAAGCAGAGGAATACAGGAAGAGAAGGAGGAGATCCAATCTAAAATATGCTTAAAAACAGGATGAATAATTGTTTCTAAATTAAATTTATATCTTTTCATGAATAATCCCAAGATAGACCGTACCATTAGCACTGCTAGGCTTCACAAATGCTTTTCCTCAGACGAGTGATATTGCTAATTATCAGTGAAAAGAAACTCACATAATTGTCATTATTTTACAGAGCATTTAACCAGACATTAGTTCATCTAAACACAAATACCTTGTAAGGCATGTATTTCTGATTGTTTTATAGCAGATTAAATTGGGATTCCTTTGGGGCGAAATGAGCTACCTGAGGTTACATGGCTGAGATGGAGCAGAGAGCGACTCTTACTTAGATTATCTGTTTCTTAAGCCTGTGGCCTTTTCACCATGCTTAGGGATTGTATTCAACAACTGTTACTATAATCTCCATGTCTGACAGATTTGTTAGAAGGTAATGAAATGACCATACTGAAAATGAAAACTTTTCCAAACAGTAAGCCTAGAGATTTGTTATACAGTAGCACGATCTAAGCTGGTGTAAAATTCAACAGTTTCCATCATCAAAAATACTATAGAAACTCAATAAAAAATCGATTTTCTTGACATTATAACTCTGTGATCTGAACTTGGGAGTTCAAAATTATAGGAGAAACAAAAACCAAAAAGTGACAGTACAACCTGAAATAGCAGTCGAGTGAAGTCGTCATTCAAAATTAGCACCCTTGGAGTCTTCAAAATACACTAGTTATTGAAATTTGTAAACCAATTCAATGAAACTTCTTTATAGAAGTTATAAACTAGAAGTTGGCTTTACACAACCAAATCTGTTTTCCTCTAAAACAGTATCTCAAGTTTATTCAATTTGTGATAAATACTAACTAAACTGCTACTAAAGATACATGTATTTCAGCATGTTACTTTCAGGGTAAATAAATATAAGTCATCTTTGGAATGTCTTTCATGTCCATGGATAATCTCTTGATTTATAACAGACTGATTCAGAGAACAGAATATCTATTCACAGTTTCAGTCATTCTCAATCATATTATTCTGAACTAAATCTGAATGTGGGTAAACCTAGATATAAGTGTGGGTCATATCTATCAGAATTTTCTCATCTTCCTTCAATAAACTCATGTTAACACTTTTTAAAGTACCAGTTTTAGTTAGCTTTTTCTGTCCCTGTGACAAAAGGCCTGAGAAGAAGAATTTAAAGGAAAATTTTTTTTTGGCTCATGGTTTCAGAGATTCAGTCCATAGTGGGCCAACTCGACTCTTCCTGAGTAAGGCAGAACATCCTGGAAGAAGGATGTGGCAGAGGAAAGAAGATCAGGACATTGCAACTAGGAAGCAGAGAGAAGTCTATTCACAAGGCACAAGTTATATTTACCCTAAGGCACACCCCCAGTGACCTATCTTCAGCCAAACCCTACATGCCTACAGCTAACACTCTTATCAGTCCATGTCAACGGCTTAATCCACTGATTAGTTTATACTTCTCATAATCGAATTATTTTGCCACTGAATGTTCTTGCACTTTCTCACACATGGGATTTGGGGGAATACCTCACATTTAAACTATGACATTCTGTCTCTGGTCTCCAAAAGTTAATGACCATCTCACAGTGCAAAATACATTGAGTCCATTTCCAAGAGTCTCTGTAGTCTTAAAAGTTCCATCATTGCCCCAAATTTCAAGTCCAAAATCTCATCTAAAACTCAAGATAAACTCTTAGCTGTGAGAATAAAGAGCAAAACCAAATTACAGCTGGACACAGTTGTACAAGCCTAAAATCCAGCAACTTGGGAGGCTGATACAGGAGGATTGCAAGGTAAAGACCAGCCTTAGCAACTTAGCAAGGCATGAGACAATTTAGTGAGACCCTGTCTCAAAATGAAAAATAAAAAGAGCTAGAAATATAACACCTGGGTTAAATCCTCAGTGCCAAAAAAAAAGCAAGTTACATATATCCTACATACAATGGCACAGAGTAAACATTTACCTTCCTCAAAGGAGAAATAGGGGCAGAGGAAGAAAGGATGAGACTAAAGCAAGACTAAAAGCCAGTTGAACAAACAAGTCCTACCTACATGTCCAGCACCTGGGGTGCATGGCATTTTGAAGATCTCTCCAAAGGGCTTACGTAGCTTCACTCCTGCAGCCTTGCTGATTGCACACCATACAACTTCTCTCTTAGATGGTTTTTGCTCAATTTCTGCAACTTTCCTCAGCTTATATCCCAAGATACAGGCATCTCTTAATGTTGGGGGTCTCTATTGCAGCTTCATCTTCTTGCATATCTATCTTCATGCACCACCCTCTCAGGGAAAGACTACAGGTATTCCAACTACTCCTTATCTGGCCTTCCAGGTCTTCCTTTGAAAGCTCAGTGCAATCTCCATGACCTCCTAATTCCAGCATCCTGCATTCCTGCAGAACCAGAACCACGTGGTTGATGCCAAGGTTTACTATTATCTAGAGCAATAACCAAACCTCTATATACCATGGCTGCAGTAGCCTCTGAGTGCCTGACTAACTGAGCACAGTGGAAAAACTTCTTAGGCCTCCCTCTCAAGCAGAGTGACCCCATGGTCTCTTCTCAAAGGCTTTAAGCCTGAGATGAGTGTGGTCTTGCCAATTCTGGAGAAGCCCACAAGCCATCTTTTCTATTATCTCCATCCTAAGTACTTAGCCTCTCTTTGTGGCTATAATGTCTTTAAATAGTCACAACTTCCTTAGTCTGTTTACTTGCACGTTTCTGGCCAAACCAAAAGTTTTTCACATTTTTCCACTTTGTTTTCTGCTCCTGATTATCACAGTAAACCTGGCAAAAAGTCACCAGCAAAACCCATGCCAGCTCCTGAATGTTGTGCTACCATTTGCTGGATTAATTAGTCTACTACCTTTAAATTGAGCCTCATAGAAAGTCTTAGGAAATGGGAAAAATGTAAACAACTTCTTTGCCAGTGTATTACATGAATGACCTCTAGTCCAATTTGTAATAAAGTCCTCTGAAATTTCATGTGCCCAGTCTTTATTTTCAACAGTCCAATCAGCATTTTGGTCTTCTCATCCCCCACCAGAACATTAAACTCCACTTACAACATTCTAAAGATTTTCTATCCTGCATTTCTAAAATTTTCAAAATTCTTCCCAAAAAGTTTACAAAGCTCCAAAAGCCTCTGAACCACATGGTCAGTTTAGTCACCTCAATGGTCCCACTCATTGTACTAATTTTTTGTTTTAGTTAGTTGTGTTTTTTTTTCCCACTATGATAAAATACCTGTGAAGAACAACTTAAAGAAGAAAGTTTATTTTGGCTCCATTTCAAAGGCTCAGTTCATAGTTGGCTGACTTCATTGCTCTAAGCCTGAGGTGAGGCAGAAGATCTTGGCAGAATGGTGTGACAGATCAGTATATGGCAACTAAGAAGCTGAGAGAGTTCCACTCAAAAGGGGCAAAATATATTTATCCTAAAGACACAACCCCAGTGATCTGCCTCCCCCAGCCACACCCTGCTTGCCTATGGTTACCACCACTTAATCCACATTGATGGACTAATGCCCTGATCAGATCATGCCTCTCATAATCTGATCATATTATCACTCAACATTCTTCCATTGTCTCATCCATGAACTTTTGGGGAACATTTCATATCTACACTATAGCAATATCTTATGCTTAAAGAAAAAATATGTGGTTCAAAATATGAGGTATTTTATAAAAATCTAAGGTGACTTTCTGAATACTTAGAAGCAAATGAGTCTACAACTCCCATGTTCCTCCTAAGATTTTCATTTTATATGCCAACAAAGTAAAAAGATTCCTGTTTTCATTATGTCCGCTGACAGCCAAATTTCTCCCTCAACAACATCCTTGCCTCTAACGTCTTTATCTTTAGAAACCAAAAAAAGATTGTATTTTTGTAAAAATTGAAAAATAGAGTGATCTTTTATTTATGCTCTAGGAGGTGTTTGGTTACCACACCCAGCATCTTCGGAGAGCCCTGTGCCTTATCGCATCCGTGCTGACTGGTGGAGTCCTTCAGCTGCTGTTCTACTGGAGGCCAGAGTGGAGGGTGTGGGCCAACTGCACCCCATGCCCCTTGCAAGAAGCAGACACTGTTTTGCTGAGGACAACAGTACGTGACCTTTAGTTATCTAGTTGAAATGCCATGATCATCACAGAAAGACAAATACTGTATGTTCTCACCATAGGTGGGAGCTAAAAAGTAGATCTGATAGAAGGACAGAACAAAATAGTAGTTATCAGAGCCTGAGAAGGGATTGGGGAGGGAGGGATGGAGAGGAGGGTTAATGGGTACCAGAGAGCAGTTGAGAGGAGGAGTAACCTCTAATGTTCTGTTACACTGTAGACATCATGGTTGAAAATAATTAACCATGAAGATAGCTAACAGAAAGAATTTTTAATACTCCCAACATGAAGAAATAATAAATGTCTGAGGTGATGGGTGGGCCAATTACCCTGAGCTGATCATTGTAGACTGTATGCATGAATTGAAAAGGCTCACCATACCCCCAAGATAAGCACAACTACTATGTGTCAATTAAAAATTTATTCAAAACAAGAAAAGTCATGATCATGTCTTCAATGTGGCATCTGTGAACCAATAAATGATGAGCCAGAGTTCTCAGGGCAGATCTTCCTCTACTTAAAGAATTCCCCTAATTGAAAAAAGGCAATGGCAAAATAGCTCTCCAGTCTGTACACTGTCTCTTTTTGAGCCCAAGAATAAAGGACACTTCTTTCACTTCAGCCTGAGGAAATGTCTAGCATGTTAGGCTAATGGGCAGAGAGCCTAGTAACTATAGTATCAGCAGCTCTGAGGGTTACAACGCTTAGAGACCATAACCTGGGAACAATCATTCACTTTTTCAAAAATAAGTATTTTGGAAGATATTAGACCTTTTAAACATCTAGATGTCATTTAAAAATAGCTAAAACACATTTTTTTAGACATAAATCTTCCTGCAAAGTATTTTTTTCTATTTTTTTCCCACTGGTTCTCAAATGTTTGTGCAAATCCAAATTCTCTGGAGGGATCATTACAACACAGATGGCTGACCCCTCCACCAGTTTCTGGCTCAGGAGGACTGGGATGGGGCTGAGAATCTGCCTTTCTAGTAAGTTCTAAGATAATACTGAAGATCTTGTTTGAGAAAAAGTTCTGCCCCAAACTTTGGGAAGCACTGGTCTAGCATATGGTAGGTGTTTGGTTAATTGAGCACTTTACTAAATTACAATTGAGAATTTTATGGATTGTATTAACTATTCTAGGATGAATTTCAAAGATATATTAGAAAGAAGGTGCTCTGCCTCCACTTATCTACCCTGAAGTTTCCTATAAGCAAGAACCCAAAAGACCCTTTGGTGGCCGACCACCACTCTGTCATAAACCAAGCAGTAATGAAGCCGGATTTAAAAGTAAGTGATTTTAAGAATGCAAGGTGATGACATGTTTGCAAAGAAAGAATAAAATAAATGTTTATCCGTGAGAGTTCTTGGAATGACAGCTATCTATTGGGCTGGGGATAACAGTTATCTATCAAAGAAAGGGAGACACACATGGGGATCTGTATTGAACACAATCCTTTCATGTGACTTATGAATCATTCTTGTTCCAACACATTTGTGATTGCAGCTGCGATGCATCCAAGTGCAGAAAATCAGGTATGTTTGGGATTACTTGGAGAAGCGCTTCCAGAAAGTTGGGTAAGTACAACTTTTTCCACCACTGCATCAGGATGTGGGGAAAGAACACTGACATGTTGAGTGTTGTGAGCTGACTGTGGTTCCGCTTTACCACGTCCTAGGTTGCTGGAAGACAGCAACTCCTGCTATGACATCCATCATACGTTTGGATTGGGTCTGACCAGCGAAGAGCAAGAAGTCAGGTAGGGTGTACAATACTTCTCCGCTGGCAGAAAAGTGAAGTATCAAATGGGTCACCATTAGTGTACTGTTGGCACAATGCTTTATCAACCTGATATAGTCCTGATTCATTTGCTGGAAGGATAGGGAGAGTCTATAATATTCTCAGATGCAAAATTATTGTTTGAAAAAGACTAAGTGCAATGCAATAAAAAAATTTGATTCTTCTCTAAGGTTTATAGAACAGTATCTTTGTGTTCCCTTTTTTAATTCTCGCCTTTAAAAAATCTTGAGTTATTCCATAAATATCAGCTTCCTTAACCCTCTAAAGCTTCTGAGGACCAAGAAGGCACTATTAAAAATGCATTCTACTATGAACAAACAGCTCTGCAATGGCATGTTTGCTGAGAAAGAATAAAATAAGTATTTATTGATGAAAGTTCTGAATATTACACTGGAACTGCCAACCATGTATCAGGCTGTCAGGAGAGGGTTTTGTCTGGTTAGTTGTGCTATTCATTGCGGCATCTCCAGCACCTAGAACAGTTCTTTATTCATGGTAGGAGCTTAATAGCTATTTGTAGAATAAATGAATGCATTCATTGATTTGTTAACTACATGCTTCTAATTATGCCAGGCACTTTGCAAGGAACCAGCAATCTGAAAGGAAAGAGACATTTACTGACTAGAGATAGAGAGACAAAAAGAATGGCACAATCATGGGACTGGTACTGTGGCATAGATTAGGAACTGCTCACACAGCCCCTTGATTCGCAGTGATATGGAGTCCCTGCTTTTTAAACTATACTTGAAACTGCCAATCCTGGTGAGTCTGAAGGAATCCATTGCAATACTTCTCCACACAGTTCCTAGTCTCCTTCATTTCTCAGGCATTTGATGGACATTACCTGCCTAACTTTGCAGTCAGCCAGAAACCCCAATTCTCAAGCTAAGCAGAAGTCTGCTACCTAAAATATTGGTTTGGGGCTCTACCCCCATAATTCTGATGATTCTGTAGGAGAAAGTAGTACTAATAATAGAAGGAACTATGCATTTTGGCAAGCAACTTCCATAATTCTCACATAAACTGAGGGAAGAATTACTGATTTGTTGTTTTTAAGTTTTCCCCCTGAAAAAGCACTATGAAAAATAGTGCATCTAGACCAGGACAGCACTGCAAAATGCCTTAGAAATGGTATCGTTATATAAGATTTCAGATGTAATGCTTAATATATTGAAACACAAAAAGTTTTCAAAGTTATTAAAAACCTATTGGTTTAATAGCATAAGCACAGATGTTTAAAGGATTGATCTAGAGCATTTAAGAAATCTCATTGATATATGTAGATATTCTCTGCCTAGGAAGCCATTTCTACCAGAAAGATTTCCCATCAGTGTAGCTACCTCCCATTTGTCCTTATTTATAAAGTGCCATGCTTTAATAAGCATCATGCATAATTAAATTTAAATCTGGTCCACACAATAAAGAACTTGACAATCTAATAAGCAAGACAGAATATAGTTTCCCAAATATGAAAAATAGAGGAGATAATCTTATCAACATAGGCATATTTTATTTTATGGGCATGTCTGAATGGAGGGTGAAAAAAAGAGTAAGTAGAATGTGGAGCATTTTTCCCATTTCTTAAGGTAAGACTAAAGTTTTCTTTTTTTAATTTAAATATTATTGATGGATTGGTTAAGAGATAGCTTCCAATTTTCTAAATGAATTTGAGCCTGCTTGCATTTAAAACTAAGATCACTGGACTGGGAATATAGCTCAGTGGTAGAGTTGCTGTCTAGCATGTGCAAGGTCCTAGGGTTTGATCTCCAGTACCCACCTACTGTCGCCCCATACACAAACACAAACAAGAATGTAATGTGAGAAATGAAAAAAGGGGGAGGGACATGCAAGAATCTCAGATGATGATGATAAAGTCTAAATATAAAGTTCTTTATAGGCTTCCAAGCAGCCAGGCAAAGAGGAAAAATGCATATATATGCTTTTATTTAGCATATCAGGACATCAGAAGAGTTAATTTTTCCTTGGAGAGAAATTGCCAGAAGGTATCAGGAAGAGAGCAAGCAAGTTGTCATAGGGGGCTCCTGTTCCAATCTGCACCCATCATGGACTAAACTCAAACTTCCCTCTAAGTATATGACTGAGATAGATTCATAGAGACCTTAGGTGATTCTTTTACATCACAAGAATGGGGTTCTATGAAACCAATAAACCTACTGGATTCCTATCTAGGCAGGTGGACTGTTAGGATAATTTTAAAGTTGAGGATTTTTTTTTTTACTTTCTTTTTCACCCAGTCTACCTTGATACATCCCTGAAAATAGTAATAGATAGGCAGACTCCCTTCTGGGGTTAACTCCAAACTATTCACCTTGTTGGTGACTTGTTGTCTGAAAGAAAGTAATAATAATAATATAATAACAACAACAACAATAAAGCTTCGAAGGGCAGAGTTTGCCAGTTTCTATGGTAGAAATAGTCCAGACAAGGCTGAATTAACGCACCAATGTGACATCACAGGACAAGAAGCGGGAAGAGACATGGTCAACTCAGGGATTCTGCAGGGCCAGAGTTAATTCCCAGCATTTGCTATGCTATTGAGGGGGGTAAGTAGGGGCGGGGGAGGCATACCGCTCAGTACCAGAGGAAAAGAATCCAAAGCACAGGCAGCAAAAGAAGGGTAGGTTTGCTATCAAGGTATAGCTCTAAGCTGGCAGAGGCTGTTTCATGAGAAGACTGAACTTTAGAAAAGAAAGAAGACAGAAAAAGGAAGAGGGAGGAAGGGACAGAGGTTGCATCTACCATGAAACTACTCCCTTACTCCTCAGGTATTGAGGGGACAAAATTCAGAAAAGAAATCATGCTTATGTACCATGACCTTTATGCCCTTTGAAAGTTACACTTCTGGAAAGCATCCTGATCACAGATCTTCAACCATCAGACCAGCTCTTTAGGAAGGAGCAAGGAAAAGCTGGCTGGAAGAGGGGACAGGCAGAAGCCAATAGCTGAAATCTCAAGTCTTAACATTCAATCAGAAGTTAATAAGTCACTTTAAAATATTATTATGTATTTTTCTTTAAAATATAATGCAAAAGGCACTGAATAAAAATTAAATAAACTGAGATCAATATTCCCATTTTAATAAATTTAAATTCTCAAACCCATGGTTCTATGGGTTTGGGTCCACTGGAAGTGTGAAATTACTTATCTCCAGAGCTTGTTTCAGAGCAAAATCCTGTGGAGGAGGGATCAGTAAGTTGAAGTCCTGAATCCTAAGTCCTGGCAAGATCCTGTCCTGGGCTTTTTGTACCCCAACCTCAATTCCCCATCCCCTTCTGGTTCTTTTCCCCTTCCAGATTTTTATGCCTGGGAGTGCTCAGCATACTTCCTCAAGAGAAGCTGACTGGAAGTGTCTCATTTAGCTCACACAGAGGCATGGGATCCTGGAAGAGCCCAGCTCTTCCTGAGGTCATCTGGAAATGCCTAATTAAGGAAATGAAAGAAATGGATAGTTCACAGATGAGCATTAATGTGAAAAACTAAAGTAACTTTTGTGTCATTTGTAAAATGGAGCTTTTTTATCAATATTTCATGAAAGTGTTTAAGCATTTCGAAGCATTGCTAAAAATGAGCTCCTCCAACACATACAAAGAAAGCATTTTAAAAAAATATACCAATTTTCCTATTAACTTTTAAAATAGGAGTGCTCTGTGACCAACCCATCTGTATACAACCATACCCAAACCTCAAACGTTTGAATGCCGTACTCTGCATCTGTGAAGGTCTGTGGTCTCCCTTCCTTTAAGAAATGGTTTTAAGCCGGTGAAGGATTGGCTAGCAGAACCACCAGAGAGCTTTTTCAGACTCCAGATGCTTACTCCCTAAATTCTCAAGTTCCTGGCAGTGGATCATGCTGGAATCTCTTGGCCTGGCATGGACTGTTTGGAAAGCTGCAGGTATCCCTCCCTCCCTGCCAGCAACCATGGGAGGCTTATCAGAGGGGAATCTTTGAGCAAAATAGCAGAGTGGTCATGTGAAGAAGCTCACCAGTCACTCTAACTGGCTCCTGCCTCCCCAGTACTCCACTCTAGTCCACACCACACCACTTGGTGCCTATAGTGCACCAGTAAACCACACAATGTATTTCCAACAATTCTTTGGTGAATAAATGGGTAAATGAATGAATAAAGGAAAATTAGGCACCATCAAACACCCCCATAGAAAGTACTCCCAGTCATTCACATTGGGTGTTTCAGAATTAAAACAATCCAGCAGATTTACTAATATGTCGGAGTTGAATGAAACCTCAGTGGTCTTTCAAGTGCTGCCCCTAGTTAGCATAGAAATTCCTTTCACAAGTCCCTGCTGTGAAATTCAACTTCTTCACTCTACAGCTACTCTTCCTTTGAAGGATTGTTAGAAATGCCAGGCAAGACTATTTAGTTGTTTTTGGCTTATGTTGTTCAGAGAAGACACTTGGAACAATTTCAGGGCCTCATTTCCCTGCCAGCTCATCAGATTTTTAGTCAGCAAATATAATATTGGACCTTTACTCATGTGACCCAACTTTAGGCCTCCTATTCCTCTTGGTTGTTTAATCATTGGTCAGCATTTCCTGAAAACTAGGCTTACACTGAGATTGAGATGGGCACATGTTCCCTAAACAAACTATATTTTTTTTTGGCAAGAGACAGCAGAAAGGACAGCAACAAGGGGCATAACAGGCTATGATTTAAACATGCCCCAGATGAGCCCTAAATATCACTATCTACAGGCTAGTATTGATCCATTGGTTCCCTGTCCTCTTGGAGTCTAAGCTCTTCATTTAATGGTAATATCAGAAACCAGCTCACCAAACAAGAAGAGTCAAAAAACATACTGACCTTTGGTTAGCTTTCTACATTGACTTTCCACAGTCTGCTTCTATCTTAGTTGTGCATATGGGTTTTGAGTCTTTTCAGGGGAGACAGTATTCTAGATATGGGCCATAGTGTTTCTTATTAATTAACTACAGTATTCAGGAACATCTGTGTCAGATACTGTGTCCTTAGATACCAGAAAAATAGAGTTGAAAAAGTTCCATTCCTGCCTTTAAAGAGAGTCTAGACAGTCTGAGGAGAAAAAGTCATAAAAATATATATTACGATTCAATGAAGTCTGCACTGTGACTGAAAAAGAGAATGTTGTTGAAAGAGAGAAAAATACAGTTAATTTTGCCAATGGAATTCAGACTTCAAAGATGGCTGCCATTTACTGAGAGCTTGTCCTGCCCTGGCACCGTTGCTAAAAGCTTTTCATATCTATTGCGCTATGATGCTGATAACAATTTTATTCGGCATATTTTACAAAACTTATTTTATAGATATAGGAACCAAGGCTCATGCCTCACTCAACCCTCCAACCATTCATTCAATGCATAATGCTCCAGTGTGTTATGTGTATCAGCTCCTGTTTTAGGCCTTTGTGAGCTGTAGGTGTCCTAGAAACTTATATGATAATAGAGAATATAGTCTATCATTTGCATACTCATTATCATGTTAAAAATAAGGTGTAATTCCAGGTAATCATATGCATTATAAAGAAAAATAAGGTAGGTTAAGAATATAAAAAGAATCTTTGAGTAGTTCTTTTATTCCCCCAGTACTGGGGATTGAACCCAGTGCCTTGTGCTTGCTAAGTTAGGCAATTGCTCTACCATTACACTACACCTATTTTAAATAGAATGATTTAAGAAGGTCCACATAAGAAGGTATTATTTGAAGAGTAATCTGAACACAACAAGAGAGCAAGCTATGCAAAGACACAGGGAAACGAATTCCAGGTAGAGGAACAGCAAGTATAAAGGCTTAGCTAGAGGCAAAGCCAGGTCTATTCTAGCTCACATTTCTCAACCACTAGGCTCAATGTCAGATTTGGCTCTTTCAATCTGAGGAGGCATTTACAAAGTGAAGAATTGGAGACAGATGGGGACTGTTTGGGGGCTCAAATTTGGAGTCCTGAGAAGTTCTGACAATAGACCAATAATTTATTATTGCTATGGATTTGGTACCAAAGTTGATTGAGTTGTGGTCTTTCCCAGTGTGAAGTTTAGGGAGTCATGAAGCTATATAGCAGCATGGGTATTTGGCCTGCTTGTCTCTTAACTCCCCCAAGCCCCAGTATTTCTCTAGTATGGAACCATAAGACCTTGGTATGAGTCCTCTCTGTCCCTTGCAAGCAATAATTATACACTTGCAAAAGCTTGGCTTCAAATCAGAAGAAATTGGGCTCAGCTCTCAGTTATATCTCAATGATATCAAGGATATTTCATGTAGATTCTCTCCTTTGGTACTTGCTGAGGCAGAGTTGTAAAGTCTAGAGATCAAGGTAGGAAGCCCAGCTCTGTCTCTCTCTAGCTTTGACATCCTGAGACAGTTACTTAATCTATCCAAACTTCAGTTTTCTTTACAGTAGGTTATAATATGAAATCTGATGGGGATAATGTGATGATTAAATAGTTAATGGCTTTAAAAGGATAACTGAAGTTTCTGGCACTTTATCTCTGCTTGAAAGTTATATTGTTATGATTAATATTAGATGTGTGCACCTTTGGCTAAACACCCACACCAAACAATTTTTCTCATTGGCTAATGGAGCTATCTCACTCTGGCCTTTGGACTATCATGAGGATCAAATGAGTCTTTTGTAAGAACTTTGTAAAATACTATACATACATGAAAGCTTCTTTTTATAATGAACACATGTATTATACCTTGTTTGCAAAGTATACGTTTCCAAGGTGAAGACCTTCTATCATCTTCCAGAGCATTCGTTTATTCACTGCCATATTCATTCAGTTCACATACTAAGGGCCTGTCCTGGGTGCTGGAGAGACCAATGTGAGACGGATGTGACCATTCACATCAAGAACAGCCTAAAATGCCTGCCAGATCTAGAGGCATCTTCATATCTGTGTCCTTTTGCTGCCTTTAAAATATAATCAAATTATTAAGAAAAAAAAAAAACCACCTCAAAATGACTTTCCAACTTCATTTGGACACATTGAGTTTAGTGATGACATTTGTAAACCAGAAAAGCAACTTTGTTCATCACACATTGACATTCACTTCAAAAACATATTAGTAATTTAGTATTATGTTTCAAAAATACGTGCATATTATGTTCAACTGAAGCCAGAAAATCGCCAAAGAGCAGAGATGTGGTTTGTACTTAGACTGTACTCACTTGTCACTGAGCTCTTAGGTGTGACACTAATGGATGATCCATCTCCTACAGAAGATTAGTGTGTGGGCCCAATGCCATTGAGGTTGAAATCCAACCCATATGGAAGCTGCTTGTTAAACAGGTAACTGGCTGTTTTCTTTTCTTTTTGAGAAAAAAAAAGATAATTTCTGCCCCTTATTGTGTACTTAGTACTAGGAGAAATCTTGAATTGCATATGAATACTTCTATGTTAATGAAATCTGTATTTCATGCGACTTTTTTTCTGTTTCTATCCTTTTGACTTGAGTCTATGCTTTTTCTATTGAGAGTTTTTCAAAACATTTGATAAATGTTATTATCACTTTTTTTCTCTAGGCTGTCTAAATGATGCTTTGCAATAACCACTTATTTTAAGTTCAAATCCACTTTAAAATTCCTTCCCACTGTGAGAGACAGATTACCTTTTCATAATCTCTTGTTTCTTTTGTTACATTTTTGATGGTAGAGGAATTTCTTAGTTCAGTCTACTATAATAAAATGTAGACTGGAGGCTTAAAGAGCAAATGTTTGTTTTTCAGTTTTGGAGGCTGAAAAGTCCTGTGTACTCAGTTCTTACAGATATCTTCTCATTGTGTCCTCACATGGTTAAAAAGAAGAGAGCTCTGGTCTTTTCCTTTTCTTGTGAAGACACTAATCCCATCATGGGAACCCCACCCTCATGGCCTCATGTGAACCAACCTACCTACTAGTCCCCTCAAGCCCCATGTTATACCATCACACTGAGTGTTAGGGCTTCAACATAGGACTTTTTTGGTAGGGGCTGGGCACAAACACGCATGAGGCAATGTGATTACTTCTATAATTTCTGAGGAATTAAAATGAACTATTTCAGTCTTTTTCTAATTGCTTAACAATTTTTTTAAGAGTGACTTCTTTCAGAGATAGTTTTTTTCTTAAACATAATTTTCCTTGTGTGTTTTGAATTTATTATTTTTTTAAAAGTTCCCATTAAATGGGACATTGGGTTCCTTCCATTCTCTCATTTCTCCCTATGATTGCTGTCCCTATTTGATGGTTCTGTTTGGGGCTCCAGTTGGTCCCAATTAGATCCCACTTCAAAACCAGGTCCACATTGGAGATGCCAGTGTCTGTTCTCAGGAATCTGTCGGATATCAGCCCTGTAGGGCTTGGTCAGTTCATGGCTGTATCATGGACACTTATTCTCTCCTGTTGCAGACCTCAGCTGTGAACCATCTCTGCTTGTGACTTTTCTCAGCCTCCAAGCTGGGACAGGAAATCCTCAGGTGTCAATCTGATCTATTTTGAAAGGAGCACTAGTATATTTTTTAGCACCTATTTAACTAGGACTTTATAGAAAAAAATGCAAATCTAACTACTTCTTCACATTTAGTTTCAAAAGAATATTAGATGAAGGAGACAAATTATCGTTGTGCTGTTTCATTCTCTGAGAAGTATTTAACCAGTTTTGTACTGGATTTCAATGAACTCAAAACCATGTTATCATTAGTGCATAATCTACAATTAGAAAATTTTATGCCAAGCAAACACCAGAGCTGTAATTTGTAAGTAAAGTAGTTGAGATGGAAATAATAAGAAACATTAAGAAACAAAAGCTTTTTCAATGTTATACAATATATACCCCAGGGCTTAAGAAACCCTCAAGATCAGCCTATTAACATATTAACCCAATACCAGTTCATTTTTAGGATGAAAAATAAAATTTTATTTAATACATTAGGAAATTATAGAAAGTGGAGGCAAAACAAAAGAGTACCACTGGTTCCAGACTGTATTTCATCTAATTTATGAAAATCATACAGGGAACTTCCCCAAGAAAGGATTCCTGGCCTTGTCCCAGTGGGCTCTTTAATTTTCATATGTCTGGACATCCTGTGGTCTTTCTCTAACTACTCAGGTGTTTCCTCCCTAATATAATTACAAAAATAGAGCCAGTAGAGCCAAAATGGAAATTTGAAGGAATAAAGAAAGTTTAAAGGTATCACCAAGAGACCAGAAAGGTATGTGCTTGTTTGACCGGTGCTGGGGCTGGGGAAGTCTAGTGTCCAAGATTTTCCCTGCAGCCTTGGGTGTGTCCTTTCTTTTCGGGATCGCTCCTTTTGAAGGGAAGGGCCATACTAATTTCACTGACTCTCAGAGTATCTTGCCATGGCCTGTGACATGACAGATATTTTAAATGACCTGGATAAAAGTAGAATCTCTCATTTTCATTGCACAACTTGACAGAATTTGCAGCATGTGATTACATGAAAATAAACTTAAAAAAAAAAACCAACAACTCTTTGAGGGCTGGGGATATAGCTTAGTTGATAGGGTGCTTGCCTCCCATGCATAAGGCCTTTGTTTCAATCCCTAGCTCCCCTCTCCACTAAGAAAAAAAAAAAAACTGTTTGAAGGTCCTTTTAAAAGAGAAGTGAATCATATATCTTCTTTATTATGGGCAAACCTGTTGAAGAAGGTAAATTGTTAGATTTTTATTACTGGAAATAAAGTCTTGAAAGTTCAAAATAATTAAGAATTACCAATTTGTGGACATGGCTTTCAGTACTTAAAGTCATTTTGCTTTCACCATATCACATTCTATGTGCTTGACATTGTCTCTACCCAAATTAATGAAGTTCTAAGTAAGTTCTTAAACATTAGAGGTTATTGTATGTTGTCAAAAATGGAAGAGCCAGGCGCGGTGGTGCACTCCTGTAATCCCAGCGGATCAGGATGGCAAATTCAAAGCAACTCAGTGAGACCCTGTCTCTAAATAAAATACAAAATAGGGATGGCTCAGTGGTTGAGTGCCCCTGAGTTCAATCTCTGGTACAAAAAAAAAAAAGAAGGAGGAACTATTCTATAAAAAATGGTATCATCTTGATTGCTACCAAGGTCCATTCAAGTGACTCTAGTGCTATTTTTGTACCTGCAGGTTTTAAATCCATTCTATGTGTTCCAAGCCTTCACCCTAACTTTGTGGCTGTCTCAAGGTTACATAGAGTACTCTGTGGCTATCATCATTTTGACCATTATCTCCATTGTCTTAAGTGTGTATGATTTGAGACAGGTAAGAGCTGAAATTATATTGGATTCCACATAACCTCTGGCTAAAGAGGCAGAGCCTTAGAATTTTCACCAATAATAAGGAGTTGCTTTGTCAAACATAAGATATAGCAAAGCAATAAACAAGAGCTTACCAATTGTGGGATCTCAGGAAGAGGGCTTTAGGAATGCCAGGTAGATTTAAATAATAAATGTCTTTTCGAACTCTGATTATCAGCTAAAGGTTTTGTTGAATGTTGGGTTTAGAAGGACTCTGAGGCTTCCTCTGAGCCTGGTGGGAAAGAATTCTGTGGCGGAGTAATGATGTCAGCCATGGTTTCAGGAGAAAGGGAGGAGGAGCAGCTCAACTGTGCATATCAGTCAAGAAGACACTATGTCTCCTAGGATGATTCGATGATATATTTTCCCCAACTTATATACTATGCTTTCTTCACATTTCTCATCTAAGTGTTTATAACGAATTTTAGTCTTAAGATTCCTTTAAAATGTTTGTTTCTTCATGTGGAATTCAAGATTAATTTTTGTAAGAAAACCCAAAACAAATACAGAAATTCCTGTGTGGGAATTAGGGAAGTTGCTAAAAAACTCAGTTTTGATCTTCCCATCAACAAAGCAGTGTTTCAGCAAGAGACTTACTTGAAATTCCTGAGCTGCTGACCTATTAAGTCGAAATATCCAGGATAATATCAAGAATCTGCATTTTTAGCCATTTTCTATCAGGTGATGGTCAGACAATCTGAAGGCTAAAGCACTGTTGTTATCAAGGGAATCTAATGAAGTTGAATTTGCACCCCAAGATCCCAAATACATGTTTTTATTCATTTATTAATGTTGTCATCAGCTGAACATATTTATTCACTCTTTTCATGCTATTAGGTGCATATATAATACAATTTCATGTGGAGATTTGTATATTTATTAAGTTTTTAATTGAAATAGAATCTTACTATGCACATTACTTTGCATCTTAATTTTCACTTTATTGTATATATAATGGCAATTTACCAAGCAAATAAATAATTGTAATTCATGTTTAGAAGTATTGCTATGATATCTTAAGGAATATCATAATCTGCTCACTATTTTTATGTATGTAAAATAATATCATTTCTCCAATTTTTGCCAACACAAATAATGTTGAATTAAACATAACTACAATACAGTCCTGTGCTTCCATATTATGAGTGTTTGGAATTTTTTTAACATAGGAGCCAAAAGCCAGATTATTGGATCAAAGGATACATATAATTTGAATTTTAATAGATTATGCTATATATTTCTCATGAAATGAAATAATTTCTTCTCTCCCGCAACACAAAAGAGTATCATTTTCCAGATCCTCATTTTCCGGATCCTCATCAGCATTGGGTGTTATATGTTGATATTTGAAAAATTCTATTTAATGTTTTTTAATATACTTTGCCCTGATTACCAGTGAAAGTAGACACACTTCCATTTGAGTTTTGCACTTTTTATTTTATATTAATAGACTCTTTATGTCCATCATATGTGTGAATAAGTTTTATTTTTAGTCTATCTTTTCACTTTTGACCTTGACTCTTACCATATGTTAGAAATTATGTAGTCACGTGTATTTCTTGTTTCCTTTGTGGGTTCTGGTTTTCTTGTTTTGCACATAAAGATCTTCCTTTTGTAAGTTAGGTCATTTCTGTTCTTTTCATTTGCAATTTGCTTAATATTTATTTTTAAATCCTAATGGAATTTAAACATTCAGGTCCTGCATCTTAGCAAAAATCTCTAAATTCCTTTGCCCAAAATAGTGACTGACATGGGAACTTCAGACTTGATGGCAAAGGATTTCTTCAAAAAGAAGAAAAGGAATTAGAAGACAAGAGCTAATCCTATTAGTAACTGGTATTTTTTTTTTTTAAGCTTACCTGACCTAACCTGTAAGGCATCTTTTAAAACCATATAAAACAAGCCAGTTTCCTGAAACTGTATCCTTGCAGTTTAAATCACAAAGCCTCCATGTTCACATCTATTTAGTATTTTAGAGTTTACAACAATACCCACATGTGTTTGTGAGGAGCAGGATAACATAATAAAGTGAGACACACGCAGGTGTCATACACTCCTACTACCTGATAGTAAAAGACATGGCAATCAGGAAGTGAGAGACTTGCTCACACACACTCCCTTATGCACAGGTTTCCTGACTCTGAATCAAGTACTGCCCACCGTCCTGTTGAGCACATTCTCAAAGTGACCCGAGGACTTGGTTGTAATGGTAGGAAGGAGGTTGGCAGGAATGCAGAAAGGAACACCTACTGCTATCTCCAAATCATTCTATCGACCTACATTGAAGTTCATCATGTAACAGAATTTAAAGACTTCGCTAAACCAACACAGGCTTTTAAAAATTGAAAGAAGAAAGGTGTTTGCAGAAGTACAAGAAGGTATCTTCCTGCACTTCTTCTAGACTCAACTAATGGTACACAGTTTACCTAATCAAAGCCCAGGATCACTCTTGCAGCAGGTCCTTCCTGCAAAGTTCCTTGCAGTTCTGAGTGCAAACCTTGGGACCCACCTGCATTTACATTGTGCTGTATCCACATGCCCTGTCACTGGGCTGTGCCATGGTAACTGCTAGATATAGCTCTGAGTAGCTGGCCCCATAGTGCTTTGCCTTCAGTCATGACTGAGCTGGACTCAAGAGGCATCTAAGTCCTGGTTGCTCATCTCTGGAGAAAATCCAGCCACAGCTAATACAAGTGCATGCAGCAACAGATGCTGAATAATAATAGTATGCAAATTAGTCTTGGAAACTGATCCTAGTCCCACTGAGGAGGAACTGGAGAAACCAGAGGGGGCCTAATGAAAATCAGCCACCAAGCTTTGCAATCATGGCAGGCATCATAGCATTTGCCTTCTCCTGGCTGGTTGGTTGTCATAGAAACCTGGGCTTGTAGAGCCTCTGAGTACATTAACTCAAAGAAGATGCCTGCATTATCTTACTTCAGTGTCATTGGGAGAAGTAGAATGATTCAGTTCTGTTAAATACGTATTTGCTGAGAGCCTACTATGTGATAGACTCTGGGGGATGCAGAGATGAATACATGGCCCCTTTCTTCTGCAAACTGCCTGCCTTACTGGGGAGACCTGACAAGACAACATATCCCAACACAGGTGGAGACACAGGGAACAGAACAATGCGTTCTTCCTGGGGATGGAGACTTATGGAGTGGAGATGACATTTAAGTAGGAATTTATCTGAAGGATTAGAAAGAGTTCACTAGTAGAAAACTAGGCTGAACATTCTAGGGAATAGCCTGAGCAAAGGCAGGCAAGCATGGCAGGTTACGCAGAATGCTAAGTCTGATAAACAAATCCAGCTTTACAGCATAATGAGGTTTGAAAATTACAGTCAAGCATTATTAACTCATACTTCACCACTTGCAAATGTGTCGATTACCATCCTCTTCAGCTAGGCTGAAGTCATCATGGCATTGACTGAAAGAGTTTTCTGGGCAAAAAAAAAAAAATAAAGAAATTTGGAAATGAGGATATTTACCTTCTAATAGAAGAAAAAGCCCTTTCTTTTGAAGCACCGGAAGAATAAACTCACCAGGAGATAATGCTTTAGAGTCAGATAAACTTGGGTTTGACCTCCAAGTTTAGCAAGTAAACAATTATGGGGAAGTGACTTCAACATTTTTCAACCTCAGTTTTTTGCTTTTTGTTTTTGTTATTTATATGTATGTTGGAGACAACATTTTCATCATAAAATTATTTCAAAGATTAACATATATATATATATATATATATATATATATATATATATATTCCAAGTATTTATAGCAGTGCTTGATACATAGTAGCTGCTAAATGTTTCAACTATTTTAAAAATAATAACTTGAATTATTTATATACCTCATGTATTTCTTCTATGAAGTCTTGAGTGTTTCAGATAAATCTCTAACATGTAAAACAAATCTGCCTCATACCACGTTTGATCTTGAAAGTAACTTGAAATTGGTCAAATTCAATGTTATTTGTTTACAAAGGAAACAACTGACTTATAAGGTGAAATTTCTTATGCACCATACATGGCTGGTTAGTGGGTGAGCCAGACCTACAGCTCAGGAATCCTGAGCAACTCCAGTGTTCTTGCCACAGAATCAGAGCTAACTTTCTCACTCCTACCTGTCATTCAAAGGCATTCCTCAACAGTTAAGCCCCAGGAAGTTACCTTAGGACAATGGAATATGTATCCAACAGTATTATCACTTCTTCTACTCAATTGGTCCAAATTAGTGAAGTTTAGCTTTTAGCAAAACTGAAATAAATAATCAAATTTTCCATATAAATATTAACACTAAATGCATTATGTTCTCTGAAGGGGAAAGTTGTGTAATTTTGTGTAATGTTTGTCTTAGCCTGGTGACATTTCTGTAACATTTTTAAAAAGTACCAATGGAACAGATACAGATAATTTAATAGCTAAAAAAAAAAATGTTTCATGTTTGAACTAGGTTAAGCTGCATTTGAGTACTGTCCACAGTATTCAAACCCTCTTCTACTTAATGGCATCCAAGCCACTGACATTCATACCAATGCGGCAGTGCCTTCTGCAGCTTCTCAGCCCTGCTCAGCCATCTCTCCAGCTAATAGTGCCCCAATGGTCACTCTGGGAAAGTTGTGTGGATGAAATCCCCTCTCACTTCTGTCTTCCCATGCTCGCCATTATGCTAGGAGATGTTTAGAGATGTTGCTTCCATTACCCCAGGCTCCTTCCATTTTCTCCACATTTTACAGAGACCTATCTCAGTGAGTTCTACCTCAGGCAAGCCTTTCCAGCTAGTGTACTCTCACAACTTTCTTATTCTTCACTAACACATTTGAACCCTCAGCATAGTACTGAATACTATGCAAAGGGCTTTGTGAATATTGGTTTAAAACTGACAACAGCCCTAGAAAAACAGAGATGGCTATTCTTTCTCCTTTCAGATGAGCAAAAGGGAGTCGAACAGGTAAATAACTTGTAAGTGATAGCACCAGGATTCAAAATTGAGCCATATGACACCATGCTACAGACTCATCTGATATGAAAACCCCCCGTTTATAGCAGAGGGGGTGACTGTTCACTTTTGATCAAGCACAACTTAAATACTCATGGGCTTTTATAAGTGGAAATCTGCTTAGTGAACAACTTGAGCTTTGTTGTTTTACAGACAGGGGAGCCGAGGCTTAGAGTAGGAGGTAACCCATCCAGTCTCAGTCTTTCTCTTTTTACTTGTGCATTCTCAACATGTTGATAAAGTCTTGCTTCCTTGGGCATAGTCTTTTGAGGCAGTGGCTCTAAATCATTTTTCCAGGGAGGGAAATAGCATTATTTCTATTTCTATTTCATTCGAACTCCCAAGCGTGGTCACTTCTGCAAGGAGTAGGGCAGGTGGGGCAGGGGTTGGAGCAGGGCAGCAGAAGCATGGAGTTGTTTGGCTGTGACAGCAGGTTGGCATTTACACTGTGGAGATCAGGTGGCTTTCAGGATGTGGACTGATACTGAAACATTGACTTTACTTTGATAGCAATCAGTGAAGCTGCACAACCTCGTGGAGGATCACAACAAAGTCCAAGTTACAATCCTTGTGAAAGATAAAGGTAGGTGATACTGTTCTGCTTCTTGGGCATGCTACTGTTTCAGGGTGGAATCTGACTCATTCATCCTTGATTACTTACTCGCCAAAGAGAAAAAGTCTTTACTGATTGAACTCAGGACTGGAACTAGTGTGAGAACAGAGCATCTAAGACATGAAATCCAAGGAAGCAAGAATGTACAAACACTAATCCTGCCTCTGCAGGGCTGGAGAGGGAGTGCCCTGTTAAACTGCAACCTGGGCTCCTCACTTGCCTTAGTCCTGATTGAACCATTCCTACTCAATATCTGGGTTACTTCGAATTCCCTCTGTCCTCTATATTTCATTCATGTGGATATTACTGGAGAACCCTTTTAAGGTTCTTTTATATTCTTCAACTATCCATCCCAAATACATCCCATCAAGTATTTCAAACTATCATCTGGAACCTAGACCTGCATAGGTCTTTTCGATGCTGGCTGGACACTGGCATTTGCTCTGAGTTGGTCTGGGTCGGATAGCCAAGGCTCTCTGCAAGGAGTGAAGAGCTACACCCAAAGTAGCAGAAGCTCTCTAGATAATTTTCCTAAGGCCCTAATTCAAGGAGAGAAAGCTTGCCACAGGGACAGAGAGAGAGAGAGAGAGAGAGAGAGAGAGAGAGAGAGAGAGAG